TAATAACTTGTAGTTGATTGCACATATTTTACTTTACTATTTTCATGATATTTCTAATTATTAGATTTATTATGAATCAATAGAATGTAATAATGTTTTTTTTATATCTATACATGCAAACTCAGTGTCTTTTTTTTTATGTTTTGAACGACTTGAAGTAGGCGTCCTATTCTTGCTACTATGATGACGAGTAACCTTCATCGCTCTAACACTACAACGATTTTTAATGTTTCATTTATTACATGAAAATTTAAATCACTTTTGTTCTATTAAGTGTTCAAAGTTCATTAGTTAAGTTTGAGCTTTGATGTTTGAAGTGATTAGAGCTTCAAATAAAATTTTAATACTCGTGTTTTGAATTTTTGACATGTTTAAAATTATTTGTTAATTCTTAGACGAGAAAAAATTATTCTAGGAACCGGTAAAAGGAAGAACCGAACCGTTTACTACCGGTTCAGTTCCATAACGGTTCTTGATTTTTTATATAGGAACCGAACCGATTTCATTAGTTAAAACTTTTATAACGGTTCCACTCATTTTGAGTAAGAACCGAACCGGTCCCAGCCCTAGTGGTAGGGCATTGGCTAGGGGTCCAGGTGGGGAAATGGAATGGAAGGGTAGGGGTAGGGACTTGGGCTAGATGCAAGTGGCAAAGGCTGTGACCCGAATGTCCGGGGCAGAGTTTGGTGCAATGGCGGTGGCATGGGTTGGATCAGTGGCGTGGGATAGGCAGTGACAGGGGCATGTAGTGGGGGAAGCGCCGCACAAAGATTGGTGGGGGAGAGGTGGGAGGAGGGGTTTGGGTGTGATAGGGAGGTGATGGGAGCATGGTTGGAGTAGCGGTGGGGTTCAGGAAGCGTCGAAGGTGGGTTTGGGGTAATGTCACTGCCGGTGATGAGGTCGTTGCGCTTTTGATTGTGGTCAGGGCCGGTCCTGGGGGGGGGGGGGGGTCAACAGGTCCGACTGCTTTAGGCCCGAAAATATATAGAGACAAAAGTAGGTCCAAATATTTTTTCTACATATATAGCATGAATAGGCTTTTTTTAAGTTCAACTACTTAGGCCTAATGTTTAAATTTTGTTGACAATTTGAAGAAAATAGAACATAAGTAACATGTCTTAAATGAAGCCAAATTTAAAAAACGAATATACATTAATTTTAAGTAGGATCAGTTGTAATTTTTAGGGAAAAGTACGGAAAAGGTACTTGTGGTTAAGCCTGTTTTCAGATAGGGTCATGTGTTTCATTCTTTATCAAAGTGGTTCATGTGTTTGAATTCTGTTATCACAAGAGGGTCACGCCGTTAAAAACGTCTTAAAAAGACCGTTAAAAGTAACTGCGATTTTCAAAAGTGCCCAAAAAATTAAAAGAAAAATAGCGGAAGGTGCGCCTCAATAAGACGACCGCTAGATCATCTTTCTTTTTTGTTTTCCGCCACCCTTGTCACCGGAAAGTCCATCGGGAAAGTGATATTAGCGAAATCATTTTTAAAAAATAATTCAAACAGATCTGAAAAATCCAAAGGCGAAGGTGGTTTGGAGGTCATCTTGATGAGACGCACCTTTCTTTTCTTTTAATTTTCCGGGCACTTTTGAAAATCAGAGTTACTTTTAACGGTCTTTTCAGACGTTTTAGCGGCGTGAGTCTCTTGTGATAACAGAATTCAAACACATGAACCACTTTGATAAAGAATGAAACACATAACCCTATTTGAAAACGGGCCCAACTACAAGTATCTTTTCCGTACTTTTCCCTAATTTTTAAAGCAACGCAATGAATCAATAAAAGACACGTCTATTTAGTCTTCACATCTCTTTAGCGTTTAATGTTTTTTTATTTCTTTTAAGCGATTATTGATGGTTTCGCTTCACATTATTCGCCGAGAAACGATTTAAGTAATATTTTTTCTTTTAATGTAATACTTGTGTAGTTACGTTTGCCCAAATATGTAATTTAAATAACAGTAAACTGATTTGGCCTTTATTTTATGACCTTTATTAGATATTTTTGTTATCAATCCAAGACCTCAAAGATAGAAGAATTATCAATTCAGGACCTGAAAGATGAAATGTATCGGTATAGGACCCGAATGATGGAAAACTTTGAATTCAGGATCTCAATGATTGAAAACTATCAATCTAGGACCTAAGTTTTCATGAATTTTAATTTATTTTTTACTTTAAAATTTTTAAATACTACTACCTCCGTCCCAAATTGATTTGCAAATTTGACTTTTCTTTGTCAAACAGTTTCATTTTATTTGCTTAATTAGGATGTCAATTTTTAATTATATTCTAATTTGAAGTTTGCAACTTTGAAAAGAATTTAATGTAGTTTCTGAATATGAAAATTTTAATTATTAAAAATCGAGTTAATTATCGATAAGGAGGTTTGACTTTTATTATTAGTTGACCAAAAAATTTTGACTTTGCAAAACAATTTGGGACGGAGGAAGTATTTAGTTTTATTAAACTAATAAACTTTTGTGAAGAAAAATTTATCAAAAATCACCAATGAAATTAATAAATAATTAAATGCTTATTGACACGAGTAACAACTCAAATGCTGAAAGCTTAATTGAAACGAGTAACGACTCAAAAGATTGTGATTATAGTCTAATTTACATCCTCTCATCGTGTCGTCCGGTCGGTGTTGGGAGCCCTCAGGGATGGGGTGTCATCCATTTTTTGAGTAACGACTCAAAAGAGGAATAGACAGGATAAGCAAGCAAGGCTCCGGGAGGCTGAATCATTAGGTATTTAGGTTGCAATACTTGCAAATATTAACTTTCGGCTGAATCATTATATATATCTCATTGTTGCATTAAAATTTAACGAAAAAAATGTAATTTCTGTCATGTAACTTTTGGCTATTTTCAATATTAGTCCCGTAATTTTAGTCACATGCAAATTTGGCCCTGTAACTAATTAATATTTCCGATTTATGAATTATTTCCCCCCGAAAAGTACACTTTCCAGTGATAGTATGCCGGAAAAGATGTCGACGGCGTTGGATTTTCATGTACTTTCCGGTGAAAAAGTCCTTAAATTGTGAAGATTTATTGGTTACAGAGTCAAATTTGCAAGTGATTAATGTTACAGGACCAATAACAATAACAGCAAAAGTTACATTATTAAAATTGCAACTCCCAAATTTAAATAATGGGAAAACTGTCAAATAGGTCCTCGAACTTTCATAAAAAGGTCAATTAAGTCCTTCTATAGGAGGCTATGTCCGGCCGCCGCGATTTGGGGCAGTTCCAAGTGGAATTTTTTGATGACATTTTTTGAGCATCTTATTCACCAAGTCTAGTTTACTCATACCAAATTTCAGCTAAAAATTCAATCGGGAACACATTCAAATTAATTCTTGAAGATAACTGCGCATTTTTGCGTACTCGAATTAATTTGAATATGCTCCCGATTAAATTTTTAACTGAAATTTGGTATGAGTAAACTAGACTTGATGAATAAGATGCTCAAAAAATTTAATCAAAAAATTCCACCGGGAACCGCCCCAAATCGCGACGACCGGACATAGTCTCTTATAGAAGGACTTAATTGACTTTTTTATGAAAGTTCGAGGACCTATTTGACAGTTTTCCCTTAAATAATTGAAGTTTGGACTTGTTTCTCAGCGCCCTCAAGTAGGGATGGACCCAGGCCGGTTCGGCCTTGGGCCCGGCTGGTTCGGCCCTGGGCCCGGCCGGGCTTTTTTTGGGAAGGGAGAACCGGAACCGGCCCGGGTAGGCAGCGGTTACAGGCCGGGCCGGTTCAATGGAATTTTTTTTCTTTTACTTTTCTAATTAACCCCCGACCCCCCTTCACCCCCGACCCCCAAACAAACCGCCCCAAAACATACAGCCCAACCCAGGAAAAACAAAAAAAAATTGAAAAAACTATATAAAAAAAAGGCCCGGACCGGGCCCAGCCGGCCGGTTCCAGTTTTTGAAGGCCCGAGCCCGCCCCTTTTATTTCCCGGTTCGGTCCACCCGGACCGGTCCTATGACCGGTAACTGGGCCGGGCCGGTTCAGGGCCGGGCGGCCCGGCCCGAGTCCATCCCTACCCTCAAGTATTGTTCCGGTTCCGCTTCTTCTGGCCTTCAAGACAAGTTTCTTGAGTTCGTCAGTGACCATCTTCTCGTGTTTCAATATTAGTGAGACGGAAATAGGTACGGAGTAGTAGCAAATAATTAATTTGTTTACTCAACCTCATGTTCTGCAATTTTCGAAATGCTATGTTCATATTCGAGTAAGGGAAGTCCTTCTGTTCGTTGTTTACGTGACTTGGTTGCTTGCTCAGTAATAGTACGTACACTTGGTACTCTTAAAACTATTTGCCTTAATAGATCGATCAACAAGTGTATGGTATATCATGCCCTACTAACAAATGAATGTGTACTTACCATAAATTTGTTTAATTTGTCAATATTTCACATTTATGGCTAAATTGCCAAATCATAATACTCTGATTCCTCCACAGATAAATAGAATTTGTTTTGATTAAACGATTGAGTGTTTTACAAAAAGTAAACATTGTTTCTTTTTTCAAAGCATGTATACAAATTAAGTGTATAAATATAGTGCCCGTTAGGCCGTTATTTAATGGGTATATAACATTGATGCCTTGAACAAGTATTGCTCAGGTTTAATTTGACCCAAAAAATGTGTTTATTGCCATACTTATTTAAAAATATATATAAATATATAGGAGCATGTTAAATTATGTTTGTATACAAAAAAACACGGGTTGCAGGGATTTTTGAAAGAGAATTCCCAAAATTAACAGGGATTTTGGTAGGGATATATCAAATACGTACGAAAAACAGTTTGTCACGAGCTACTTGGCACAGAATCATCGATAAATGCGTACAAAAATCGTGTCAATCGTGTAATTTTTTTAATGATCTGATATATATATGATCCGTTGGAATAAATACGGAGTAAATGCTAAGATACCTATGAGAAATACAGAAAACAGAGCATATCACACATATGATGTATTTGATTGGTCTAATTCATTAATTCCTGATTAACTTATATTTAAATTATGTAATTGTAAAATTCTAATAATAGCTCCAAACAAGGTATGATACATTGAGAGTACCATACAATTTGTCATATAATTCGTAGAATCAAGACTATAGACGAAGACCAAATAGATCCAAGAGATGGTCGAATATATCAGAAAATCAAATTTAAGTAATTATAATTAAATTATCCTTCGTATTTAGATAATTCTGGCAATCAGAAAATGGACGGACGGCTATAGCTTGACCACTTCCGGAATGTGGACAGGGTATTGATGAATGCAGTCGGCCCACGGGCTGTCCGGCAGAGGGGAATTAATGGTATTATGACACACCCAAACCGCACTGTTACACTTGAACCCACTCCCAAACCCGATCTGCCAGACCCGGTCCCCTCTCTTCATTCTCCCCTTCGACTCGATGTAACTCATCTCGTACCACAGCGAAGACGACGACGTATTCCCGAACCTGTGCAGCGTCATCCTCGACGCCTCCACGTGCTCCGCCGACAGGTTCAGCCTCTTCTGCAGCTCGTCGATCACCGCCCGCCCGCCGGCGTGGATGCAGAAGTGCTCGAACGCCTGCGTGAAGTCCGGCACGTAGGGTTTCAGCTTCTTCGACCTGTACAGCTTCCGGGTTATGAGGGAGAGCACGAACAGGATCTGCTCGGAGACCGGCAGGACCAGCGGCCCGATCGTCGTGATGTTCGACTTCAGCGCCTCCCCGGCGACTTCCATTAGGTTTAGGCAGAGGTTTATCCCGACGAACCCTTCGGTGTCCTCCTGTTGGAGTACGCATTTGTAGGAGTCCTCTTTGTGGCCATGGTGAGTCCGGACCACGTGGAGGAGCCGGTACTTGGCTCGTCCACGGTCTGCTCTCCTGTTGGACAGGAGAATCGCTGCTCCTCCCATACGAAACAGACAGTTTGGGAGGAGCATGGATCTCTCCTTCCCCATGTAGGAGTTCCCGGTGAGAATCTCGGTGCTGATGACGACCGCGTTCGAGTTCGGGTACGTCTTGAGCAAATCCCGGGCTAAATCTAGCGATATTAGCCCCGCGCTGCACCCCATCCCGGAGAGGCTGAACGTCTTCACGTTGCACCGGAGCTTGTACTTGTTGACCACCATGGCACTCATTGAAGGAGTTGGGGAGAATAAGCTACAATTGATGATAAGGATGTCAATGTCCTTAGGGTTTAGCTGAGTTTTAGCCAGAAGGTCGTCCATTGCCGAAAAGATGACCATCTGGGCTTCCTCCCGCACATTCGTAATCGTGGGAGTGGGCGGGAGGTAGTGCATAGCCGGGGGGAGACATGTCTCCTCCCCGAGACCGGAGCGCTCAAAGATTCTCATCGTGAAACGGACACTCTTAAGGTTGTCGGGCATCATGAGCGTCGCATGCTCGGCTGCGCGGGAGAACGGGACTCGGCACATGCAAGGGGGCTTGAAACATGAATAGTCAACTAGATAAACTTTGTGAGGTCTTGACATGATGTACAAAGTGGCCAAGTAGATCAAGAGGAATGCGGGGATGGCAATTTTGAGAGAAGTGAAGGGGAGATGAGTGCATTGGTTGAGGAGCCCAGAAGGGCCAAGATGAATGGCTTGTTTGAGGATGGGAAGTAGAATGGGTACAATGAAAATGAATCTAAGGATGTACCTCATAAAGCCATGGTAAGCAAGTTTTGCATATCTTTGATAGACAGGAGGGCTGGGAAGCTTAGGCTCCTTTTTCTGCAACATAATGGTAAGACTTGCCTAGTTGGTTTCCACTTGGGAGTATTTTTGCTATGACCGAGAGCTTGTGTAGTGGACCGTTGTGTGTATGGATTTTATAGAATACTTAATTGGAATAATGAATGGTGGCAGTTGAAAGTATTCAATGAAACCAAACTGCCACAGCCCAATCTATTTATATACTACGTAAGAATTACTCGTATATAAAAATAGGAAATTTTTATGGTAGGGTTATATTAAATTTATAATGTACTACGTATGAATGAACTTATGAACTTTAATCCTATAAGTATTACGGAGTACTAAGCTAAATATATTACGAGTATGAAACAAATTTAATTAATGGAAATTGAAGGACGAAAAAACTAAAGTTGGAACAAAAGTACCTAAGATGGAAGAAGTAAAATTATGCCCCTCCATTTCTTTATTAGACTATGAATGTCTTCTTTAACTTCTTGTCTATTTGAATCATCCTAGTAAAATTATGCCTCCTCCATTACTTACAAACTTCGATCGATTTCGTAAAACCCTATCATGGATACACTAATTACTTTTATTCATTTCAAACTAACATATTTTAAGGTCAATAAATTATTAAAAATGTCATCGTCCAGTATTATACTACCTCCGTTCTCTTTTAATTGCAACATTGGACTTTTTGCACTATTCACATATTCTACTTTGACTATATTTTATTAATTAATGTATTATAAATTAAATTTTGTAAACATATTGTTAAATTCTTCTCATTCTAAATTTTCAAAATATGAATTTTTTATATTTTTTACTAATACGGAATGAGAGATATTAATGGTCAAACTTGTGTGTTGACAAACGTGAAATGTTGACTGTTGCAATTAAAAAGGAACGGAGGAAGTATTAATTAAAAAGTCATTCACAAAGTTAACTCATTATGTTTATCATCATCATTCATTATTTCATTTATATAGTGCTCTTGGTCAGGTTTAGGCCGGAACGTAGTGTTCTATACCCGGCCTCGCTAAATTATTAAAGGACCCAGACTTGGACCCGTATACCCAGCGTCCGAAAATTTGGATCCAGACATTGACCCAACAGGTCGGTCTCAAAACTAGATCGAGTAGACCCGCCATTTATGAGATGCAAAATATTATAAACTTTGTGAAAATAACAAGAATTGTATCTGAAATATTAAAAAAAAGGTGTGCAAACTCAAAAGCAAAACATATTTTTACTTTTCAAAAATAAAATTCAGATTTCTCATAGAAATTAGTATTTTTATCTCAAGCATTTGTTCTTGTAAAGGTGTATGACTCCATACTCTGTGTCTCCTTCTCTCGCACCGAAAAACTCATAGAATAGATTAGAAATTAAATCACAAAAGGTCTCTTAGACTATGTACTGAGAGTACAAAAGCATATTATCTATGACATATTAATAATTATAATAATAACAATAACAACAATAACGATAAGGAAAACAATAACGAAGACGATAACGATAATGGTAACGATAACGAAAATGAAGGATAACAATAACACAGTGGTAACGATAACGATAGGAATAGCGATAGCGATAATGACAAAGATAGCGACACACATAGTGACAATGATAGCGACATCGATAATGATAGCAATGACGATGACGATGATGACGATGACGACGACGACGATCTCAGTATCACTTATACAGTACATACATATGTATTAGTACGTGTGTATTTTTTTTATTTGAAGAATTATAAGTAATCACTTTATGAAAAAAAATCACTTTTTTGGACAATTCTTTTAACCTATATAGTATCTGCTTAATGTTAATGCCAACATCCTTGAACTGAGATGAGATTCGAATCTGAGACCTCCTCCTTGGGAGTGCCACAGTGATGCCATCAGACCACAAGGTACTTGGCAAAAAAAATCACTTTATGACTTTATGTATTAGAATGTGCGCATATACTAATAAGAAATTTTAAACGGATCCGGATCTTTAATGGGTGAGAACCATATGTACCATATGTGACCTTTTTTTTAAAACTACTAAAGAGTATGAGTTCGAGTCTGGATAAATGGAATAAAACATAGACACATACTCACTAAAAAACTTGTCTAGATTGGGTCCTGGTCTAGATCCGATCCATTGACGAGCGCCTCTAGTAGGTAAAAAGAACTTAGTTTCTCTTCTTGTGCAGTGTTTTACGGTTTTACCGTATGTTTATCGTCTTCATATAATTTACCTATCAAAGAGGCATTCGATTTTGTATTTTTTCTTAGTTTGGAATACTTCGTATTCAAGGTGTTATCCAACATTATCACCCAAAAAAAGTGCTATCCAACATAATTTAATTTGCTGATTGATTTCATCTTTCACATTTTATTTCACTTTCTACGGATGTTCGTCATTGTGCTATTAAAACTCAATCTTTTTCTATAGGATTACAAAAATAAAAACCATTAATAAAGAGTATGATTACATGGTCTTCACTACGCAAACACCACTTTGGTCATTGGGTATAGTACGTTTATCTCATTTCTAATTTTCTCTTTAATTTCTTGGGTTACCCATACGATCAAATTTGAATTCAACTTTACGAGAAGATGCTAATGAATCTACGTAAATTGTAATGAATATGAGTAAATAGGTTTTAGAATTCTGAAATGGGATATGCATGCGGAAGTTATTAATGTTATGATTATAAAATATTGTCATGATTGAAAACTACTGAAATTAATGATTGTTAATATTGTCATGTCTCAAGATTTTGGTCCTATTTATACGCATATGTCCTCTTTTAGTCTTAAATAGATAATTAACTCTTGGTATGAAGTATAAACATAAAACATTTGATCACATTTTTCATTTGGCTCCCTCCCATGACTCTCTCCCATATTTCCCCAAATATTTTGAACTTTCACTTTACCCCAATATTTCCCCCAATTCCAAAATGTGCTCCATTTAATTTGTACTCTCATATGAGAATCCTACTGGGTGCGGCTATCACCATCACCCATGTATCTATCTTAGAGCATTTCCAATGCTACAGTGTGAATGGTGCACTACATGTGACATGGGAGATAGCCACATAAATATTAGCAAATAAATTATTGGAAAAAGTACGGAAAATGTACTTGTGGTTAGACCCGTTTACAAATAGAGTCATGTGTTTCATTCTTTAATCAAAGTGGTTCATGTGTTTAAATTATGTTATCACAAGAGGGTCATGGCGTTAAAAACATCTGAAAAAGACCGTTAAAAGTAACTCTGATTTTCAAAAGTGCCCGAAAAATTAAAAGAAAAATACCGGAAGGTGCGCCTCAATACCGGAAAAAGTAACCTTTCGATATTTTCCTTTTAATTTTCGGGGCACTTTTGAAAATTGGAGTTACTTTTAACGGTCTTTTTAGACGTTTTTAACGGTGTGACCCTCTTGTAATAACGGAATTCAAACACATGAACTACTTTGATAAAGAATGAAACACATGACCCTATCTGAAAACGTGGCTAACCACAAGTACCTTTTCCGTACTTTTCCCTAAATTATTTCTCTCCTTATCTGTCAATCATAATGTTAACATCTAGACGGTCTTCTTGACATTGTAGAGAAAACTTACAAAAGTTGTATAAAACCATTCAAATAAGAAGAGAGATAATTTATTTGCAAATATCTATGTGGTTATTATCTCTCATCTCACATGTGCATTGTGCAATTTATAGAATCGGAGATGCTCTTACACTCCCCCTTTAATAACGAATTGTTTATTTGCGTGTTTTTACATTGTCTTTGGTTCTTGATAACATAATTTGGGGATTTTTGTATGTTTGTATAGTAATAAACATTGTCATTTTTATATATTCTCTCAAGGGGCCATTAAATGCCTGACGTTTTTTTTGTTTTTTAAAAGTACATATAATGTCGGTTTCTATAAAAACTGACGTTATATGATTTTTTTATTATTTTCAAGTAATACCTTTTACGTCGGTTTCGTGGAATAACTGACGTGGTAAGTCATACTACTCCGTCCCATTTTATGTGTCTCCTTTGGTTTTGGCACAATTTTTAATAAAGTGGTTGAAAAGGTAAAAGTTGTGGTTGAGATTTGAGTATAGTAAAGTGAAATGTTGTGAACCACATATTTCTTTCCAAAAAGGGAAAGATGACACTTATTTTGGGACAACCCAAAAGGGAAAGTAAGACAGGTAAAATGGGACGGAGGGAGTAGTTATTATGAAAAACGATTACTTTTTACGTCGGTTTTACAAAATAACTGACGTGGTAACGCACCTATTACGTCGGTTCAGAAACCGACGTGATACGTTATTACATATTACGTCACTGCATTCCACGTCACTTTAAAAACCGACGTGAAATGGTATAAATAACCGACGTGAAAACCTACTTCTGTAGTAGTGTATAACTCGCCGTCCAATTAAGGGGACGCATCTAGCCCCAGAGAGCTTCCATCCTCTTCCTCATTTTCGTTAAGGTATCTAAATTTCTATACTTTGTTTGATTTGTTTACATAGTTGGTGTTAGAGGTGGGCATAAAAAACTGCAACCGATTAACCGTACATTCGTACTAAATAATCGAAAAATCGGTGTTTTTTCCGGTTAAGCATAGCGTGTTTTCAAAAACTAGCTCTTGGCACGATACGATTACAATTTTTAAATAAAATTACACCAGTTAACCCATGATCCAAAATTAAAATATTACGGAATACTATGTACTTCTAAAGTCTAAACTAACCACATGCAAAGTATTGTGCGAGTATAGTATTGTCTCGCACTAGGAACGAGAGCAAAAAGTATATGGTTCATTTGGGAATTGGGATTGCAGCTATATTATTATTATTATTATTATTATTATTATTATTATTATTATTATTATTATTATTATTATTATTATTATTATTATTATTATTATTATTATTATTGTTATTATTATTATTATTATTATTATTATTATTATTATTATTATTACTCCTTATTATTATTAGGGAAAATTTGACTTTGCACCCCACTTTTGGGTGATATTAGACTTTGCATCCCATTTTCAAAAAATTTTGACTTTGCACCCCCAACATATACTATTTTGTGAAGAAAAATTTCTAAATAATGGGATGCAAAGTCAAAAGAATTTTAAATAAAATGAGGTGCA